TCTGTAAAATGGGGACAATAATAATAACCACTGTCTTATGGTTGTTGTGAATATTAAATGAGAAAATGAATGAAAAACCCTAAGCACAATGTATACCACATAGTGAGCTCTAAAAAGAGGCATTAACTGTCTGGGTCCCCCGGTCATGATTATTATATAATTGTTGGCTTAAAGACCACTTCCCCTGTTGTATTATCCTTAATCAAAATACCAAATTTCATTTATTCCACCAACTCTCAACCATATCACTACATTCCATGTTTTTTCTCACCCCAGTGTCTCAGCATTAACAGCAGAGGCATAAAGGAACTAAGTGTAAGGACCACAAACACCATGATCACCAACATGAATGTGAAATTTATCCCTGTGTGTATATTGCTACCATTTTCCACACCAGAGGAAGTTTATTCTAACAATGCAGTCTAAATGAAACCTGCAACAATGCACCACTGTTAAACTTTGCAAAGTGGAGATTAAAAGCACTTGCTGAAGTCATGCATTTGAACATCTTCACCACAGACTGATCCCAAATTCTACTTTGCAGTTTTACAAAGTTCTGCACATCTAGAATGCTATGCTACCACTGCTTTACAGTGACCAAGCATCGAATCTTTGAAGTATATCCATAAAAGAAACCCTCTAGTCATAGCATTCAGACACCAATGTTTATGGGATTACTCCCAATATGTGAAAAAACTCCAATCAGGAACTCTAGAGATATCTACAACAATCCAGAGGAAGGGTGTTATTTGCATATTCACTAGATAACAGGTTATTGGGATTTTTTTTTCTAAGTAGCCAATGCTCATTTCTAAAAAGCTTCATAAAAGCATGAATTTGTGAAAGATTTGTCATGTGAACTGTGAATTATCTTCCAGATAAAGTTAATTAGTGATGGCTTCCTGCATTTATTCATTTTTTAACATCCGCATAATTTATGTGTACCACTGACCTTCTCAAGGATGACCTTGTCCTGTAATCCCAGGAGACCCTATTCCATTACCCTGCTCATGTTCTCCCACTCCTTTCCTCCTCCTTCCATTATCACCTGCTCTACATTTTCACATTGTTTTAACCAATTCCCCTGTCTTTCTTTATCACTTTAACTAGCACTCTGCACAAATTCAATGTGAGAATACAGGGGAAATCTATAAAATAGCAAATAGTTACCTAAAATATGCCATGGGATATAAAGCTGCCGGCTGTATTCATCATTGGCAAATGACCTAAACAAGTCTATTTATTCTTATAGCCTCCCTGTTCATCTGCAGCTTCCAAAACTATAAAAAGAAATTTCCACAATAACATCACACAGGTATACTAAGATTTATATAACCAAAGTATTCCAGACAAGTTGCATTTAAAGCAAATCCTATTTAAATGTAGTAAAAAGGTAACTGTTTAAAAGGAGATACTGTAGCATATTATTTTATATGAATGAATAATTTCATAAAGCACATTGTTACCTTCTAACTTAACAGTTTTGAATACCTGAATCTTTTTATAATTGATCTACTTAAAATAAATATCAACTATAAACTTTAAGAGAACACTTGTTTTACTATAGACATATTTCTCAGAAATATCAATTTTAAGAGAACAGCCAGAAAATAACTTTTTAAAAAAAAACCTTTAAAAATCTGAAAATCTTGTAAAGCTTGTATATTTTCAATACTCCATATTATAGAATGTCATATTATTCAATTTTATAATTAAAAGGTCCCATTAATTTCACATTGAAATTCTTACCCTATGCCTGTATACTCCTAAACTCAAAATAAGTTAATGTTTCTCTTTAAATAATCCCAGCTTTATATTCTGAATTATGAGAGGACAATCTGTTTAATTTTGTTTTCATAATACTCAGCATACAAAGCCAGTATAGCATACATTGCAAAAAGAATCAGCTTTCACACAGCAACCTCTTGAGCTTCCATTTCAAGAAACCATTTTGTTTCTACATGAAGCATAACATTTAAACTATTAATATCTAAACTTCATATTTCTCACGTGAATCAACATTGACCCAAAGATAATGACTTAAATTTGAATTTTTCTTATATCTAGTTCATTGCTTAGCATGTAATATATACTTAGTATATTTTTTATTTGAATGGTAAATAAATGACTTTTCATTTATTGAGGTTGCTTTACCCACATAATCCCTTGACATGTTTCCTGTGGTTACCAATGACCATGATATTCATGATAGCTTTTAGAAGTTTAAGGGATACAATTTGGGGTCTATGGAAATATGATTGTTTTATGTGTGTGAACCAACATGCTTACAAGAAATCAAAAGCACCATTCTTTCTTCTAGTGTTTCTCAAAGAATAACTCTTAGAAAGCATATACCCAAATGCCTGGACAAAAAGGTAAGTAAATTCTTTATCTTATTGATGTACTAAACAAGAATCAGAGAGAAAGACATGGGGATCTGTATTTGAAGATTTTTCTCCTCATCCTTCCTGGGTCTCTCCACATGATTCTGATGTACACTAAATTTTGTGAACCTTCTGGGCACAGTGACACATGACTGTCATCCCAGAAACTCAGAAGGCTTAGGTAGGAGGATTAAAAGTTTGAGGTCATCCTGGGCAAATTAGCAAGACCCTGTCTCTTTTTTTTTTTTTAAAGAAAAGGGCTGGGGATGTAGCTCAGTAGTAAAGAGCACCTGGGCTCAAACCTCAGTACTTACCAAAAATCTAAATCTGAATCTCTGTAAGGGATCCAGATGAAATTTGAGTCCCACAGTTCAATTATACTAAAAGTTTAGAGCAAATAAATCAATACCTCATAAGATACACAAAAAGTGGCTGTAGCTTTGCCTTTCTAGATTCTAAAATAAAAATAAAGATGCAAATTGTTGCTATCATATTTTATTAGATCAGAGTGTAAAGGAGATTTGGTGTTTAATTTATTATGGTTCAATTTAAACATAAACCAAATACGAATGTGACTGCAAAACGAATGTGTTTCCCAAGCATCTGATAAGTATTGGTGATTGTAGTCAAAGTGACAATGCCATAGCCTTTGTGCATGGTCCATGGTCAGATCACTTATTAATGATGTATAACTGCCTATGATTGAATATTCTACCATGAATGAGTCCAGGAAGTCTAGTTCATGTTGAGAAAAACAGAAATTAATCAAAGGCAAATATTTGGAATTTGGGATTGGCCTGATTGATATGATAGTTATTTTTTAAAATCCCATGAGAATGGAACACACCTTGGTGCCCTTCAACAGATGAATGGATAAGAAAAACTGTAGTGTATATACACAATGGAGTATTACTCAGCCATAAAAAGGTTGACTTTATGACATTTATAAGTAAATGGATGGACCTGGTGATTAGCATGATAAGTGAAATAAGCCAGTCCCCCCCAAAAAAAAGGTTGAAAATTTTATCTGACATGTGGAAGCTAACCCACAATAATGGGGAGGGGGGAAGAACAGATATTCAGTGGATTAGACAAAGGGGGATGAAGGGAAGAAACAAGAAATAGGAAAAGGGAAGACAGAAGAATGAATTTGAAATTATTTTCCTATGCACATATATGAATACACCATAGTGAATCCCATCATCATGTATATCCATAAGAATGGGGTCCCAACTAGAATAAGATGTATTCCATGCTTGTATAATTATATCAAAATTAATTCTACTGTTATGTATAACTAAAAAGAACCAACAAAAATAAATTTTAAAAAGTCCATGGGGGGAAGAACAGCCATTCTAATCCAAAGAACTATTTAAACTTTCACAGAAGGTGCTCTCCAAATTCAAACTAAAGTAAAACTGTCGTTTATTATGATAGAGAGTGGACAAAATGTGTGTAAACTCTCACTTAAAATTTTGGAAAGGACAAAAAAAACCCCAAATTTAAATACACATATGGGTTTTAGCACTGAATTCAGCAAGTATTAATACAAGTTGACTGATTTTTAAACTACCCCAAGAGATCTTCCAGACATAAAAAAAAGAAATATAGAAAAAAAATGTATTCCTACCCTTAGCAATGCCATGATAATTAACTACCTGGTTGATGTCAACATTAGGTGATTAAACAGGTAATGCCCAAATACATTAATCATAAATAAATCAATGTAATCAATATTGCAATTGTCTTAATAATTTCAAAGTTCATCATAGCTCAGATTTTATCCAAAATACAAATGTGTATATGTATATATACAAACATACACATGTGTGTTTTAAAATCATATGTATTTGAAGTTCATATGTATTTGAAGTATACAGCATGACATTTTAATATACACATATATATGGTGACTTGATTACTGTAGTCTAGAAAATTAATTTATCTATCTCATAAAGCTATTTTTTCACTTTTTTGTGTTAAATGTACCTGAAATCTATTCTTTCAGCAAATTTCAAGCAAACACTATAATAGTATCAACTAGTCATCATGCTATATGTTAAATCACTAGACTTATTCCTCCTACATAATCATAAATTTGTATATACCTTTTGACCTACATCTCCCTATTTCTATTTCTCTGCCCCACCTACTCTCTTGATGTATATTCGACTTTTTTCGGATTCTACATATAAGTGAGATTATTATATATTTAAAGTATTTACATAATACAGGTTGAATATCCCTAACCTGAAATCCTAAATGCTCCAAACTCCAGAACTTTTTGATTGCTGATATGAAGCCACAAAAAGAATACTCCATACTTGTCATCATGTGATGGGTCAGAGTGAAAAATACAGTTGCACTAAAATATCATATAAACTTACCATATGGTTATATGTATGTATACATTAGGCTCTTGATCCTTAAATTAATCGTTCATATTCTACATATAGCACTTTTCAGTGAAATTTATTAATAGTATGCTTTCCAACTGTTTGATTTGCAACCAATTCTAAGTTCATAGAAAGTTGCCTCCTTGAACAAAACTCTTTCTTCCCAAATCAAGTTACATTTAGCATTTAATTTGCTGTATTTAATAGAACCAATTCCTACCTGTAACTTTCAATTCAGTTGTTCGTCTTACAAGTTTTCCTTCATACTTAAGTTCACATGTGTAATTTCCTCCATCTTCTTCTTGAACTTCCTGGATTAGAAGAGCATTTCCTTTCTGTATTATTATACTTCTCCACATTTTTGGCTTGCATTCCTAAAGAGAAAATATTTTTAAGTAAATCAAAAATAAATATTCACATCATTATATTTTCATGCTGGCAAGTTACTGCTTTCACTTTTTTTTGCATTCTTCTCTTTAGTTTCAAAATAGGTAGCTAAGGAGTTAAATAAATGACCAAGCAACATCACAAATGTATATTATTTTATCTCATTCAAATATAATCACCCATCACATTAAGAGCCACTTGAAATACCTGGCACCAATAGCCAGAAGATTTATGAAGCATTCTGCAAAATTAGAAAAGCATACAAGTCCCCTAAATGTAAGAGATGTAGAGTAGAACCTTAAAAGTTGCTAAATATATAATGTCCTGTCAAGTACAAAAAAAATCATCTACATGGAATAAAGGGAGAGGTAATTTAAAGGTTCTTCTGACCAAAATATAGTTCCTGATACTACCTGCTAAGGTTAGTGTTGGAGTGGCCTCTTACGATCTGTATGTTTTAATGAAAACACATAGATATAAAGAACTTTTAATGCACTGCATTAAAGTATCATCTTGCTGGTGGATAGTTAACCAATTAGTGAAGATTTATTTTTATATGATTAGTCCATTAGCACCAATTTTTACCATCACCCTAACCCTAAGATTCCTAAGAGGATATGGTTCACTTAGACATTTAGCTTACTCCAGGGGGTCTTAAGCATTATTAAACATTCATAAAATGCTTTTTATTTGGCAAGGAAGTTTATAATTCTTTCATTAATCCCACCTTATTGTAAAACTAATACAAATACTCCAGAGCCTCCCTCCTTGTGGTCAAGATATCCATTATGAGGCTACAAGAAAGCGTCTAGAAAATTTGGTTGAAAGAATTCTCTAGAAATGCAGCTAGGGGAAATAAGGATGTGCATTGAAAAAAATCATCCACCTATTTTGTATGCTCAGTGACCAGAGAATATGGTTTGAGTTTTGAAGCCAATTTGTTTTACTCCTCTGATGGGAATGTGAGCAAGTCTTACTACTGGGATTGGACTACCTTAGAAAGGAATGCATAACACTTTTGCAGACATTGACACTTTTCCAGAGAGTGACAAGCAATAACAAATTATGTAAGAATATTCAAGAATTTTTGACCACGTGGCATTGTCTTTAGCAACAACTTCAGTCAACTTTGACATACTGTCCCAGTCTGTCTATTACTTACCACAAATTTTCAACCAAAGTGATAACCAAACACTATACAAATATCAGTGACAGCATAGGGGATAGCTGTGAGGGAGTGCTAAACAAGGCAAAAATATGTTATCATCTAAATTATGATTCTCTTAATTGAGGTAAGAAATTGTGAGGCAGAGTAATTGGACAATAGTAAAAAGCACTTTCCACTTTCTCCATTACAGCATTTACAGTATCTGCATCTACTCCTGTTCAACCACACCCTCCTCAATACATCCTAAGTGTTCACAGAAAGTTAGAATCTATGCTGACTCTCTAGCCTCAGATGTGAGTGTCTGTGTGTAAATGATTTGAGAGAGTAAATGCTCATATTAGTGTTTGACCATAACAATTTTTCTTCTGTTTGCAGGAGTTTTGACAAGAAAACACAAAAACCAGCACTTAAGTTCACAGGTATAATATTTAAGAGATACACTTGCTTTATGTCCAGTACAACTACCCACACACATTTTCAGAGAGTAAATAAAAGTAATATTATGGAGAACATCTAGATATAAGATTGCTTTACTCCCTAGGGTCTTTCGGAAGAACAGTTAAGGGTTTGTCTGAAATTATATTACATACCATGTCTGGCAAGGTTTATCACCTATATGAGATTTGCTTCTGAGTTAAACCTTGGGATATAAGGTTTCTGGGAAAATGAAGAAAAAAGTCTGAACAGAGAGGAAAAAACAGCCCAGCTGCCACTGTCGTCATACAATAATAATCCACAATTATTTTCGCATTGCTTCCAACTCTGATAGCCTCAGATTTCTAAAGAATCATTCTGAAGGTCATTAAACAAAAATATGGTCCCTCTGGGCATTTTGAGAGGAAAGGAAAATGAAAACTGAGCTGAGGGTAGGCAAATGAGCCCACATACTCATTTTATTCAAAGATAAATGTTATTGTTTTCTCATGTCATTTGGTGGCAAAGTCCATATGCAATTAGTTCTAACCATTTTCATTTTCCCTGCTCACTGTTTTGAATTTCTCCCAGGAAGTAAAAACTAAAGAATGTATAAGCATTAGAAATAACTCCTGACAAAGAACTGCCAGGAATATTTATATGTTCTTTGAGACAGATCTAGATAATCCAATGTGGCAACTTTCCAAGTCCCCACATCCAGGTTTATAAAGGATTATTTGTATCCAATAGGTTTGTTTTTTGTTTTGTTCTTTTTTTTTCTGAAAACTGTGGCATAAGAATATGCCACCTTCAGGTTACCTCTAACCCTCTGGATACAATGTTGTACAGATGAAGAAGAAAACCGCCTTTAGGTTGAAGATACCTCTAGGTTAAAAACCAGAGTTCACCCAAGTTCTGTGATCATGAGAAAATTTGCTTAACTTCCTTAGGTCTCAATTTCCTACTCTGCAATTTGGTGATAATACTAATTACCATATGAGCAGCCAGAACCTAGAGGCTTGCAGGATTTATTCATTATATCTTGTTGGGCAGCACTATATATAGCAGTCATCCAGCACAGAAATTGCTTTTATTTCTAAACCTTTCCAGTCCTGGATCATGTCTCTCCAGAACTTCTGACTGTAGATGGTAAAAATTGGTGCTAATGGACTAATCATATAAAAATAAATCTTCACTAATTGGTTAACTATCCACCAGCAAGATGATACTTTAATGCAGTGCATTAAAAGTTCTTTATATCTATGTGTTTTCATTAAAACATACAGATCGTAAGAGGCCACTCCAACACTAACCTTAGCAGGTAGTATCAGGAACTATATTTTGGTCAGAAGAACCTTTAAATTACCTCTCCCTTTATTCCATGTAGATGATCATCCTGATACTTACTTTCATCTACCATTCACAAAGTTACTTTTTTGGCCATTCTACTAAGGTCTGGATGTGTCTATATAGAAGTTCAGATGTTTTTCAGGCCCTTAAACCCATTATTTGCAATGTTTCTTCCTATGTGACTGGCTATTAAGCTTAAAAGTTGTCTCTGCTTTTCTCTTGACTCTTATCTTCCTAGTGGAAAATCAATGTCACCATACCTTACTGCCCCAGACCTGTTGAGAGATTAATTCTGACAGCCTGTTAGGCAAAGAAGTTTGAAGTACATAGGCCAAGTCTCAAAATGGTTGTTTCTCTGAGACTAGGATATCTCTCAAAGACTCAACTATGTGCAAGCAGATAACATTGGCCTCAATGTGCAAATTCCCTACTATTCATTGCCCCGAGATTATTAAAATAAATTTTATCAACTTGAAGATTGAGGACCATTTTTTATGAAGTTGCCTATATTTAACAAGCAACTTCATTTAGTGCTCTGACCATTCACAGAGCAGTTTGTTATACATATCCTTGCTTGGCTAACTTAATGGCAATATGTAAAGCCCAGGTTCTTTCCTTCCCTTTTTCTTTGGGTGGCAGACATCCCATGACAGAAGTTGCTGAACCCTGAATACACAACAAAAACATTTATTGACCAAGACCATTGAAGTGAAATATTGCCAGACATATTTGGATATGGGAGTTTCCACCTTGAATATTAACGACTGAACTCAGTCTAATTATGAGATACCACCTTCATACTCACAGGTGCTTTTTAATCCATTTGACTTGTGGTTGTGGTTGTGTTTGTGCCATTCACTACACACAACTCATTCCTCATGATAAGTATATTAAAAAGATTGATTTAAATATTTCTTCTGGTTCTGAGTATCACAAAGCAGCTGTACAACCACAAGCCAATCAACTTCAGATCCCCAAAGCACTTCTGTTTGAATAGCAACACCCAGGATTTCAGAACAATTTCTCCCTTTTCCTCTAGAGTCTATCCTATCCCTTGAGGCACTCATATATGTCTAACACACTTTAGGGAACCAAACTTTCTGCAAGTTGAATACGGAAGAGATATTTAGAAACCCAATTGTAAATTAGGTATTAACCTTGCTGTTAAGGCTTGAATATATGGTGTTCCCCAAAAGTTCCTGTGTTAATTCAGGAATATTCAGAAGTGAAATGATTAGATGAGAAGAACTGCAGTCTAATCAGTCCATTCTAATTTGAATAGATCAACTTGGTAGTAAACTGTAGGCAGGTAAAGTGTGATTGAAGGAGGTAGGTCATTTCAGGGGGTGTGCCCTAAAGGTTTCATCTTCCCTATAGGCTCTTCCCCTTGTTCTTTCTGCTTCCCAGACACCATGTGGTGAGCAATAATCCTCCACTATGCTCTTTTTCATAATGTTCTGCCTCACCTTGGGTCCAGAGTGATGGATTTGGCTAACCATAGACTAACACTCTGAAGCTATGAACCAGAATGAACTTCCCTCCTCTTAAGTTGTTCTTGTCAGGTATTTTGGTTATATAAATGCAAAGCTGACTAGCATACTTGCCCCTTTTAGCCCTCTCTTTAATCTATTTACCTGGGATAAACGACTCCAAGGAGTCCTTCCCTGCCCAATCTGTACTTCTCCAACTCTATCTTTGTAGCCTTAATGTTAAGATTGGGAGCTGTATTAGTCAGTTTTTCATGGCTGTGACCAAAATACCTGTCACAACTTAAAGGAAGAAAATTTATTTGGGCTCAGTGTTTCAGAAGATTTGTCCATCATTATCTGGCTGGCAGAAACATCATAGTGGCAGGGCAAGGCAGAGAAAAACTGCTCAGTGCATGGCAGCTGGGAAGCAGAGAGAAAGAGAGGAAGGGGCTAGGGAGAAGGTATATCCCTCCAAGGCACATTCCCAGTAATCTACTTCCTCCAGCGTGGTCCTACCTCCCAATAGTCCATCCAGCTATCCAGCTAGCCAATCCACTGAGGAGGTCAGAGCTCACATGATCAAACT